ATTCTTGTGGCTTCCTTTGCACTGAATCACTCCTATTACTGACATTCATATCTAGTAAATACTAGAGCATTCGCCAAGGTACAGGATAGTTCTAGAAAATAGGTGGCGCCACACCAGTCACGTGACCTCGATGACTCAACAGTACTGCATTGAACTGATTTACTGAGGAACTGATTAACTCTCTTCGATTCTCTTACAGACTCATTCGTGTGTTATGTTTTACAATATTTCTTTTTTCCAAACCTTACGAAATTCGAGTCGTCACGTCAAATCAAGAACCTCAAGAAACTTCCAGGCGCAGATGGCCAACTGGCGACCTACGAAGTTACGTTATCCACCCTGTTTTTTTTTTTGTAATCATATTTTATTTTGATCAAATTAACAAAATGAAAACAGAAAACGAGATCATGACCAAGCAAACCAGTTCCGTGATGGTTCTATGAACTTTCTTCAAATGTTAACGCAGCTATTTATTCAAAAGTGATTAATTAATTATAGGACTGAACGTGTTTTACCCGGTCATATAGGTTTATATTCCCTCCCCCACAGACTATAGTCTAGGTAAAAAACTTACCCACGAGTATAAAGAAGGTGACTATTCCAACTATGACGTTATTTTATGAATTTTGCGCAAAACAGTTATACCTATTCGATGTAATTAAGGTTTTGATATTCATTATATTAACTTGAATTTAATTCCATATATTCAGAGTGTGGTACAGAAAATCATTTATATATTTTTATCATTACTTTTTCATGAATTTTGTTCTCAGTAAATTTATAAGAAATTATTAGACTCAATAAACTAAAAAAAAAGAAAAAATGAGTGAATCATTTCTCTGTGAATCACTTTTCGTGCTTTGGGAGAGGTTTATTAAATATGACGTCAAGACAACTTAGTAAAACATGGTGGACTAGTTGTAACGTCGACAAATAAACTTAAAGCAGGAAGTCTATGCCGTATAGTGTATTGAACAATGTCAGGGATACTGGTAAGTAAACGTATTTACAATTTTTTCTCACATTGATGTTACTGGAATATAAAAAATGTGCTTTCGGGTGAATGATTTTGCTTAACTACTTGTTAGAATCATTAGAATTCAGCAAAGTACAATAAATAACGCTAACAAACATTTAGTAGGAGTAGGTAGCACTACTACTATATTACGATTTCACCGTCTGCCTCAGGACAGGAGTCAGGTTTCGAATTCTGAAAATGGGGTTAGAAATAATGTAACTGTACACTGTAGGTAGCCTAAATTGTACGAAGATAAAGTTCAATTCTTTTGAAATTTTATATAATATTATAAAGTTTTAACCTTAACTTTCGTTAGTATTTTCGGACGAATAGGTGTTAACCCTAATGAGTAATAACTAATAATGTTTTATAAAAGTAATTACTATTTTTTCTCTTACTCTAACATATTATGTATACAAAGACTACTTTATAACAATAAATTATGGCATAAGAAGGGCTAGTTTAATTTTATTCTACCCAGGTCCAAATCAAAAGTGAGAGTTAATTTAGATGAATATTGGATGTAAAAACCAAAAGTGATACAGATAAGTTCTGGTCGTTTTAATTCCATAATTGTTAAAAAGTGCCTTATAAGGTATAACAATTGATAGTGGCTAACCCATTATCTTGGTGGAGTACTTGCCAGGTGTGTGTGTGTGTGTTGGGGGACTGTATGTTGTTATATAATCTGAGGAAATATATTTGAAAAAATATTACCACAGAAAAAATACTGCCCAATTTAGGGCTGTCCACAACCCTGAGATAAGGCCCAAGGAATGACCTTGGTTGTGGTAGAAGAAAAATGTATTAGTTTGAATTGTTAAAAAGTGCTTTACTAGCAAATGCTGTAGTTAACCCTTTAACTCAATTGGTAGGGCACTTGGGCTTAACTCCAACACATTTTCTCAGAGAGAAAGTTCTAAGATGTTCTTCCTTAGTAATGTAACATAGGATAACAGCTATTTGTTAAATTTTGGAATAATTTTACATTGTAAAACTAATACTAGTTTTTTTAAATTAAGTTTTCTTTTCAAATGAAATTGGAAATATGAAAATTTTTTTTATTCTACAGATATCACCACAGTATATATAATCTTGAAGCCCAGTCGTGTAGTAGTCATATAACAGTTTTGAACTTAACTTTTACTCACAGTATGCTTGTGTATTCCTTGTGTAAATGTAAAAGAAGTGACTTTAGCTCTGTGGGAAATTTATTTTTCAGCAATTCTTAGAAATATATTTGTCAAAGCTTATCATTTTTTTAATACTTATTACTGTAGCATTTAAAATACCAATACCACATGCTTTTGCTGAGTACATGTAGTTTATCCAGGCTACTAAACATTTAAAAACTTGAATTCTGTCTGCTAGTTTTTAAATGCATCAACTTTTAGTAAAAACATGCACCATTATATGGTCTCTTTATATCTGTTTTAGGTACAGTTATGTGGTACATTTCTTATTTTTCAAGATTAATATACTTTATAAAATAAAAAAAATAAAAGTTACACACAAGATTAAGAAGTGTTAGTAGTGCATTAAACTAACATATAGACAACATGGGACCATTTGGTCCTTCAAGACTAGCTTTGAATACCCACCCGTGGGAGAAGTCTTCCTTGAAGTAAAAACAATTTGATTCTTTATACCCTCAAATCTACCCCATATCATCTTCTAACTCATTATCCAAATTCACTGAATATAAGTCAGGAACTAACATTTCATATCACCATGATATCAAACCTACACGTAATTATATATATTGATCATTCATTCCCAGTTAAATTCTTGTAACTGTATCTTTATTAATAATCAACAGTAAATTTAGAGTGGCTTTCCATCTGGTTTGATGTGGAAAAACATTTTCTATTCAAGAAAATTCCCTTGCTACTTGCATCCATTGAATCCCAATCAGTGTTTTTAAAGTTGAGGTATACCATAATTACTGCATCAGTTTTCTTATGAGAAGCAACCTTATTCTGGTTGTATGGTTTTTCATTATCATAATCTGTCTGATTCGGTGGCCTACTACTAGAGCTGAACAATTAATGGAATTTACATCACTTAACTATGAGCTCATTAGTTGATTACATTCAACTCATCAATTATTCTAATGGAATGGCAAAAATACAAAAAACAATATGATTATTATTTGATGAGTTGACTTAAAAAACAACTTAGCATGATACAAATCAGGTTTTGACATTGCTGTGGGCAGAGAACAGATAGCCAGTTGTGTATGTAGCTTTGTCGTTTACAAGTATAATAGGAATATTTCAATTAATTATACAGTAGGAATAATTGGAAATAGTAATAATTGGAGAGCCTAATTTAGATTAATTGATTATTTTCATGAGTCATGGCACTAATAGATTAAGCTAAGTTAACTTGAAGTAATTGAAAATAATAATAAAAAATCATAATTGCAATATTTCAATGACAGAATAGTTTAATAATTAAAACAATAATAAAAAATCATAATTGCAATATTTCAATGACAGAATAGTTTAATAATTAAAACAATAATAAATGGAAACTAATTATTTTCATGACATTAACTTATTTAATCATAATTTTTATTACTTGATAGATCGAATAATTCATAAAGTGTAATAATAGGAAATACTGTTTGATTATTTTCATGATATTAAGTGTTTTACATGACACTAATCAGTGTATTCGATGGTCATAGCCAATTGATTAAGTTAATCACCCTGCCCTTCAACAACTAACAGTTAAAAGCTTTCTCCCTTGAATCCATAATTGTGTTCTGTATAGATCCAACATCTTAACTACTGTTGTTTATGTTTTCAATCCCAAATGATTGCAATCCCACCCACACCTTAAAAAGCTTTTCTACTAGTAAGTAGCATAACTTGGAATTCCAAAGTCATTCCTACTATGCATTTTCCAGGTCTAATAAACTTCATTAATTCCCAATACACCATAGTCTTCCATTAAAACTAGAGCCCTGAACTCACTCATTTTCTTCCTAATACTCCTAAATTAGGGTAATAATGAGTAAGCTTATTCTTGAATCTACTGTTTATATTTCAATCTGATAGGCTTATTTTTTAAAAGTATTATTTAACTTACTGTGACGAATCTTATTTTTTGTTCTCCATATTGCCCTAGGTGTCTTATCAGTTTGTTTATTCCCAATTTTCCAAGCTCCCTCACCAGTTTGAATGTATATAGCTAAAGCTACTACAGTCATCCTGCTTAATTTGCACTCTAAACCCAGCTATAGTATATTGTTACGCCTCCAGTCGTTAGTTGATTTTCCTTAACTTCGTTCCCACGAAACTTTAGCGACACAAGTCCTTTCTTAATAAAACTGGTTTATTCTTTACGATACACTCAACTTCAACAGTCGCGCTATAACAAACTATAATAACGACGTTAACTTCAACAATACGTCTCTCTCTCTGACTGCAGTTCAATTACTCATTACCCACACATATTATCACGTCACGTTGTGACCATCTTATATATACCAGACTACCCTATATCTAGTAATCTCTCGAAGTGTTAGAGGTAAGGAGTGGCGTGATACTAGTCACGTGACCTCGCTGACGCAACACTGCCCCCTCCTTAGTATTGTTCGTCCCGAACAATAGCCACTTACAATAAACCAATAACAATTAACAATAACTTAATCAAATGTACAGAATTACAAACACAAAATTACAATTCAACAAAGTCTCTGAATTTTATGGGATGTATCTTCTTCCGTACTGGTCTCCGTCTCGTTGGCTTCTGCTTCATATGGGGTTCATCTGCTTTATCAGTAAATGTCCTATCATCGGTAACAGTCAATCAGTGGTAGTAACTTCATCAAGAGCTTCATCGTTTCCCTTCTCAAAACTGAGTGGAGTTTCTTCTTCGATGGTGGCTTCTTCAGGTGGCACGTCTTCAGCAGTGTCATTTGTTCTGTTGTCCACTTCGTCCCAACTGAAATGTCCTGGACCGTGATAAAGCCAAAGCCTGTTGGCATGCACCACTTTTGGGTTATCTCGCCGACCACATTTTATCCGGAAAGTCACGTCTGAGAGACGATCCACTATGTCATATGGGCCTTCCAAAACTTTAGCGACACAAGTTCTTTCTTAATAAAACTGGTTTATTCTTTCCGAATACAACTTTACGATACACTCAACTTCAACAGTCACGATATAACAAACTATAATAACGACATTAACTTCAACAATACGTCTCTCTCTCTGACTGCAGTTCAATTACTCATTACCTACACACATTATCGCATCACGTTGTGACCATCTTATATATATACCAGACTACCCTATATCTAGTAATCTCTCGAAGGTTCGAGAGAAGGAGTGGCGTGATACTAGTCACCTCGCTGACGCAACAATATAATTCATTATTATTCCAAAACTATCCACAGGTCCAACCAGATAACCTGTTGCTCTATGTATATATATCTGATAATCTTTTATATTAAGCTTTCAATTTTGCTAAGTTACTTTATTCCTTATCTAACCTGAATGATCACTCATAAAATTTTCACATCTGTCTCTAAGCATCTGAATGAATGCTTCATAATTTTCAAATAGCTCTTCTGGCTTTCAGTTTACATAACATAATGTTTAGGTACAACAAGGGACCTTTTGGCCCATCTTGACTGTCCCATCCTCTAAACTAAACTATTATAAATAAAAAAAATCTTAAAGCCAGCCCTTATCATTCATATAGTTATCAAACTTTCTCTTAAACCCACTTAAATATTCTGCCTGAACAACATCCAAAGGCAACTCAATCTAGAGGCCAACAACCATATTAGAAAAATAACTCTTAGCTTAAGATGACTCATACCATGCCAAAATTTATATTTTTGTCCCCCAAATCCTGCTATTCTCACCATTAAGTATGAAAAATGATTATGTATCAATACTATCAAATCCCTTTACAATCTTAAACACCTCAATCAGATCCCCTCTAACTTCTTTTTCA